TAAAACTTCATACATCATATTAATAACAGTTGAGAAATTTAACACACCTCTTACATAGCAGAGCTTCTATTTCCTATGCTTTAAGGCTTTGAATTTAAAATTGTCCACATGAAAAATACATGTTAATAGCAGCGTACTAAAAAATATGTATGAAAATAACACCACAGATTATTCCTACTTCAAACGTTTACATTCGTCGCTATGATAAAATAATTTGCTTTTGTACTCAGTGCCTTTCTCTTTACACTGTGTTGAAAGCTAGCACTTTGCTTTCTTTGGATAATGTTAGGTATCACTGTAATTCAGCTCGTATTTGCTAGACTTCTTTTTTATTATCTTATTTGAGTTGAATACAGTCCAAGGTTACGCACGTAACACAAGGCGTCCAACTTTTTTATGAAAACAATGGAAAGCAGAAAAAACATCAATGCAAAAAACTGAGAGAAGGAAATTAAAAGCATAGCAAAGTAAATTAAAATCTACTGTGAAAAGGCACTTTGAATTCTGGGCCTAAGAAGGGATATTAGTATCTGTATCTTTGCTTATAACTAAAATGTCAAGGTGTCAAACTGAGTACACTTCAGTGCATCTACTAAATAGCTCCTGTCAACCCACACATGCAGTAGTGCACAACAGTACATGATTTTGAAATGCATTTGTTTGGGTATATGCCAATGCCTTTAGGTAGTGTGAAGACAACAATTGAAGATATTGGTTTGATTTTTAGCGTATAAGTTCTGTAAAGTTGTGTTTGCTGTTCAGATCTGCTTATATTAATTCTTTACTCTCTTGCTAACAAGTATTAAGGGTTTTGAACCAATGTTCCAGTAAGCTGAAAATTTGCACTGGCTTTTCAGTCCTGTGGGTTGGATAGATCAGTCACGAGGCACACTTTTCATACTGAGAGAGCTATCAAGAGCTGGAAGGAAAATTGATTATACAGGGACGCCTACAGCAGACTTGTCCATACGCCAAAGAGAGCTCATGTCGGACTAGCAGAGGTAGTTATGCCACAGTGACATTTTTGACAACATTACATGCCCACGTACACTACTGCTAACAGATTCTCCAAAGTCTGCAAGGGGTTCCTGTGATTTCATGCTACACTGAAACCAACATGACAGCAAGTCACCCCTTACATATTACAGGGAATCTTCTTAACTCTACCTGGTAGAGTAGGAGAAAGCATGCTCTTTGGAAGTCATCTGTGCTCTTCCACACTGCCAATTTTCCTATGGGTCTCAAAACACTCCAGTAAGTACCAAACTTTAGCAGCAGGAAAGCTCAGACTGGCCCATTTCACTACTTGAGGAACATTAGTGTTATGAGACAAAGTGATGAAGAAGAATAAAAGGCAGATTAGATGGAAAAAGAAAATATGAAAAAGGCTAGTATATCAGGGGATGAGGGATAGAAAGAAAGAGTGCAAAAGCAGTGGAAAAAAGAGACAAAAAGAGAAACAACATTCATAATAGTTTTTTTGCTGTTCTTTCTATTTTCATGTTTGTGTTTACACTCTTGAAATCCTAGAACACAGAGGAAGAACTGGAGGAGTTTGGAATACCTGGGTTCACTGTGACCCCTCACTATGTAGACGGCACAGACGGAGCTTAGCGCATCTTCTTATGGGAAAGGGGAGCAGGGATAGTTGGGTTTTTTTGATGGGGGGGGTGGAGGGGGAGCAGTGTCACCAATGCTTAAACATACGGTAAGGCTATGCTGGCTGTTATTAGGCTGCTCTGGCTTTGGGTTTCAGTAGCATAGGAGGTAACTGAAAGCCTGGGAGGGTCACACTAGAACATATCTGTAACTTCAGGTTTTCTAACTGAACAGTAAAGGCTGGAGAAGGCATATACCAGTGCACTGAAAGTTATGTTATATCAGGCAGCTTCCACTGACAAGACTTCTGTGGAATGATGGATGTTAGATAACTGTCGTTTTTGGCAAAACTCCTGGAGAGTGGTGCCCATAGGAAGAAGCATGCCTTTTGTCTACATTCCCAATTTCAAAACGCATCAGTGCAAGCTGACATTTAAAGTAAAGGGACAGTCTTAGTTATTGTAATATTAGAACTCTCTTCTGGAATTTGTATAGCAAGGGAATGAGTTCTGATCCAAACTGCTGCCACATTTCCTCATATCTGCCATAAATTCCTTTAGTCTCTGCACTGTATAAATATTAAGAGAGCTCCCTCCTATTTTACTGCAATGCAATTGCTACACACCAGCTGCTCTTGAAAAGTTTGGTATATTGGGAATACCCTGGCAACTCAGAGAAAATATTAGTCCTTCTATTCATAAATATGTACCAAAATGGATACAAAACATAAGGATACAGTATCCAGCAGAATAACATGTCATTTTACTTTCTGTTCAACACTTACCCATTTTCTTGTATGATGGCAACAAGTCTTCAGCTTGAAAATTAAAGGTTGGTTCAGTTATAAAAGCGAGACAGAAATAAAGCCTTTTCACAAGTTTACAGAAAAGTGTTTTATAACTAAGATATGCTTTGCATAAAACCAGCATTTATAGTTTGTGGAGACAGTGTGAAGATTTCAGCAGATAGCAAGTCATCTATTGAAAGAACACACTATCTGTTTACAAAACAGTAGAGTTACAGCTCAAAACAGCAGAGTTACAGCTCTTTGAAAGGATTTTGTTCTGACATTTTTTCATATTTTAATTTCTCACATCCCCTCTCTCAAAACACAGATCTTAAACCTATATTCCTTTCTTAATCAAACTTTCACTGACTTCAGTGAGAATTGGCCTAAGCAAAAATAGCTAAAAAACAAAGTCCTTAAATCAGGGTCTGCAGGTTTTGGCTCTCAAATATAAAACGGCTGGGGAGAAACCCAGACAAGACCTTTCAGATAGGCATGCCTTCCCAGAAAAACTCTCTATTTAAAAAAGATAATCACATGAAGTTACACTGTTAGAATAAAGGACAAAGACAAACACTACAGCAATTAAAAAACAGCTAGCTAATGGAAATCTTTGTTTTCTTCTTCTGGAAAAAAATGCAGCCTACTTTTCTGACTCACCGTTATTTCCTGCTCATAGGTCCAAACACCACAGGCCAGTTCAACACAGAATATTACAAGCAAGCTTCCAAAGTACTGCAGAAAACAGAATAGTCTTAGTTACTTTTGATATTCAAGTTAACTTTGAAAAAAAATATTAAAGGACATCTCAAAACACCTTCAATACATTAATACAACATTAATACTTTAAAACATGGCTAAAGACATGGAATCTGAGTTACATTTGCGTAACCAAAATATTAAAGATTCATGAAGTAAACTTTCAAAAAGCTTAAATCATATGACACAGAACGTTGTGACATTTTTTACTGGCTTAACATGAACCATGATTACCATAGGAAAGATTACCATAGGAATACAAAAAACTAATTTTATTGTTGACTAAGAACAGGGCTATCATAACACATTACACTAAAACAGTCCTAAGGAGGACAAAAAAATTCTCATATAGGTGAAAAAAAATTCTCAGTTTTTCAGTTCTATTCATTTCAGTAACATAAATCCAGGTCATGCTAATGGCCAGAAAGGAGAAGGAAAAAGAAAAAAGATCGACAAGATGGAAGAAAAAGAAGGTCCTTGAAAGCTATGTTCTTATCAAAGAGATTTAAGTAGTTGAGGTCAGGTATAAACGTACACTCACTGAGACAGACTGAAATATCTTTGTCTATGACAAGATCTAACCTTTGAATTACTTTAAAATAAAAAACACTCCTATAAATGAAAAGGCTGTATAGGTCTTGGTAGTGAACGTTCAGAAAAGCCAGTTGCTCTGATTAGGAAGAGTAGAACTAACTTCCATGTAACATCAATAAAACATTTTTGAATTGCAAGGTAAAGCAGCTTGGAAATTAAGACTGCTTTAACTGTTTCCTTCTATTAGCAGTCACTCACTGAGCTTTTATTTAAAGCCAAAGCACAATTCATTCATTCTTGACTCCAAATTTGCTTCCATATCAATGGACTGAGCACTCCTTTTTCCTCAGTACCCAAGACTAAGTTACGGTTTTCATGGACTTTAATTTTATTTGGAATTCAAAAGCAATGAACCTATGATTTTAACTTTCTCCCACAGGCTGATTATTTCTAGTGTCTCTCACTTCCTGTTTTACGAGATTTCTTCCTCTCCTGTATTCTTTGGCCCAAAGCAGAGATAAAGCCTTTATGACACAGTGCTCTAGACATCTGTGACTGCCCCATGCTAGCTTCCCCATGTACTTTTTTTGAGTAAGTATTCTAGTTCAGCCTCTCTCTCAAAGAAACACCATCACAATATAAAATAGAGGAAAATAAATATATTTATTTCCTTAGTAAGCTACACTCTGAAAGGCTGCTAATTTAATCATTTCATTCTGGCATGTATTAAGGGCAGGTATAAAAAAAAGAAATATGTAGGGAGAGTAACTGAAATATTTTTTGCTATTGAAAGGACAATAAGCTGTAATAGTTTAAATAGAGAACATAAATCCATAAGTATTAGGATTTAAGGCTCACCTATATGGCATACTCTTTATTCAACCAGTTTGGAACCGTGTAATTCACAGGGACCTGTTCAGCTCTGAACAGTGTCTTGTATTTACTACTAGTTGCCTGCCAAATCCAATTCCCTGAACCATGTTTGTAGATGCAAATTGTCAAAGTAAAAATATGCATGTAAAGTACCCATGTGAATCTTCAAGAGAAATTTATACTCATTTCCTCTCCCACTGAAGGTCTGTTTATAAAGAGTGTGGAAAGAAGAGATTCTGTTTAAGCAGTCTCCACCATGCCACACCGCATTTTCAGTCATTAAAGCTGGACAAAACATCTCGTAGCCTTACAAATCAACGTTATAAGCTCATGCAGAGCTCTAATATAGGCCTTCAACAACCAACGCGTTTGTCCTCCAAAGGTCCAAAAAGAGGAGAAAATTTGAGCCATACCTTGTAAAAACAATGATGTTTTTCTAAAAAAAAAATTAAATAAAAAAATAAAAAACCTACTCACAAGCTTCTAGACAATATACTATGACTTTATGCAAATAGTTAAAAAAAAAAAAAAAACACACAGAAATCTCCTTTGCAAAGTCTTCTCTTAGAAAGGAGGAAATAAACCAACAGCTTTAGTCCTTTTAATTGATGTGAAAACGTGTTTAAGGCTATTATGGGTAACACTCACATTTCTGAGAGTAAGAGCAACTAGATGTTTATAAGAAAAGTGAGTTTGAGTTCTCAGCTTCCCAAGTAAATTCCAGTGCTTTTATACTCTGATAGAATAACAAGTACGGGACTGTCTGCTATCCTCAAACCTTATGCAAAACTCACTGACCATAATGAAAGTGATACATGTTGGGGTGTACATGTGGTATATTCTAGAAAACTCCTAATTTACAGCTCCTTCTAACATTTCATTGGTTCACAAACCTTTACATTTGATGCTTCCTCTTTTTGGCAGCATATAGTTAAGAAAGCTTCTGGTAGTGGTTGGAGACAGAAGAGCCAAACACATGATTTTCTCCAGTGCTGAACAGAGTCTGAGATGAACACTATTTGGCCAGGTTCACTTATAAACCATTTCTGGATCTGCCAGGAATTGAGCACTTCTAACTCTAGCTACCTCTGGATGCAACAGAATACTGCAAAATCAAGGCTTCTGACCATCCTGAAAAAACACATCTTCTGCTCATAAGGCAAAAGACAACAAAACACACAAAAAATTTACACATATGAAATTATAATCCATGAACTGAACAACTGCAGTCACACAAAACTCTCTCATAGATGAGCTTCAGTTTCACTCTGCTGTTGAAAGGAAATTTTTAACTCTAATGGTTTCCAAAACAAATAATTTTTATGGAAGTTGTGTGAAAAAACCCTCCGAAGTCATCATTTGAATTTATTATCCCTAATTTTAATCTTCAAAATACAGAAATTATTATTGGTTTCAGTGCCAATTTTTGTCCCCAAATAAACTCCCAAAAGAGCCTGAATGCTAAATGCATCTTCCTGTAATTGCAGACTTTTACTTTTTGCCAGTTACAATGATATGAAATAAGGTTTAATATTTCTTCATTCTTCTTATAGGCTCAGCGGCTGCATTCTGAAAGAAGACTAACTGAATACCATCGCGTTTTACCCTTAAAACAGTGCCAGCAGGTCACTCATGTTACCCTCTCCCTCATAGCAATCTTGCACCTAGCCATCACTGAGGAATTTTCTACTCTTTTCTTTTTTTTTTTTGAGGGTGGGGGGGGAAGCAGGAAAGTGCTGGGCACAGAAGAGGGACGGTAAAGAAAGAAGTAAGGGTTTTTCCAAAGATACCTACAGGTTCTACAGGTTATCATATCAAAAAAAAAAAAAAAAACAAACTACAAGCAATAATGTAAAGTCATGATCAATCCCACCTTTTATACGGCTAATCCAACTGATTTTTAACATTTCTCTTTTGTATATAGTCAATAATTGCTACTATTCTCTCCCTATTGAGGCTGTGCAAATCACCAGAAAAAGTGGCTCCTTCACCCTATTACAAAACCATCTGAGCAAGTTTCATGGAAGGCTCTCCATGAGCAAGGTTGAAAAAAAACTAAGATGTTGCCTTCTTGAGAGAAGCTGAATGACTAAAATGCTGGCAGAAAACACTCTTTTCAGAGTAATGAATCAAACGAAAGATATTTGCCAATTAAAAAAACACAGCAGACATTTTCTGCTCCTCTCCCAGCCATGAACATGCAAATGACCAAGACCCTGGGCCTCAGCTCCCGAGCAGTGTCAAATGACTGCTGTCTATGTATATGTATACATATGTCTATGTACATATGTAGGACTAATTCTTGTAGTTGTAGGAGTAAATTCCTACAGGGGAAGAAGGAATGAAACAGCAGCGACGGAAAGCAGTTGCTTTCCACCAGAAGTACCTCTGATAATACCTGGAACCGCACACAGAACTGGATCCTTTCTGTAGAAACAGATGGGCTGCACATCTGTAGCTGAGACGTGTACTCAGCTCCTTCCCCACAATTCAGAGGTGCAATGTTAATGGCCTGCAGAAGCTTGAAGAACTGTATTTTCCAGCACATCAGCCCTGAGACAGACGTGAAGGAACTAAGAACTCTAGAGTTCAAAAGAATCTTATTCCTCTTCCTTTCAAGTACAAGTGAGTAAAGAGGAATGAACTGGGAATAGGAACAAAAGTCCTCATGGGGAAAACCATCCACGGGGAAAGACGGGAGGATGAAGGGCCAAGGTAAGCCATTAGGTCTGTTCTCTGAATAATTACTATGCCCTGTTCTGCTGGAATACTCTTCATGCAGCACAGGTGTAGAAATGACCATAGCCTGTACCCTCATTTCCTGATCTAAAACTTCTGATGAAGAAAACACACACACACCTCAATAGCATGGAAAACCATCACAATTAATTCTCACAGTCAGTGCAGAGTCCATAGGAGATCATACTCAGCTACAAGTTTAGCAGCCTCCAGAGAGGTCTTCCTCTTGGAAAAGTCAGAATGAGGCAGCCATAAGCCAACCACTAAAAGGAACGCATACACAATAAGACAGAAAGGGATAGTGAGGGTAGTGGAAAATACAAAAAGGAAATCCAGTGATGAAATTCAGCCACAGAGGAGAAATAACCCTCAAGAAAATAATCAAGGACAGAAACAGAAACAAACAAACAAAAATGTAGACTAGCGTTTTAGTTGCAGCCTGTGTGCTAATTCAGATGGCTATTCAGATAGCTATTTGCACAAAGGCTATCTGTCTAGAAAAATCTGTCTTGACTATCTAAACAGGTTTGACAGTTTCAGTCTGAATAAAATGCCTATACATACCAGTGCCATCGCTTAACAGAGTATAAGCTCCATATATGTCAGCACTAACATAGGGGCTCCAACTCCCCTAATTCTGTTTGTAAATAAGTACCCATTAAAAAGATTCTTATATGCCCAAAACATCTTCCTAGCTCTCCATGTAAGGCTGAAAACTAAACTGCAAAAACTGTTTTTTCTTAGTTGTGAGAGTTTTTTGCTATTCTATTCATTTTACCAAACTAAATGAATGACCAGCACCACAGAATACATTATAGGAACACATTTCT